TGCGGGCTTGAACTCCTTTATTCTTTCCTCTCATATTTGCGCCGTTATCATAAGCTTGGCCTCTCATGTCAGCAATGTCTATTCCTAAGTTGTTTGCCTTTTCAAGAAACGCTTCCAATAAGCCCTCGCCAGTTGTATCATGAACATTAAGAAAACCAACAAACGCTTCACGAATATTGACACCATCTTCACCGTTGAATTCAACAAAGCGTAACACCACAGACATCTGTTCTTCATGTGACACGTCGGGAGTACAGTCCAAAATAACTGAATAATATTTTGCTTTTCTAAGCTGCGCTATGCTGGCCTCTTGAATGTTACTGGCAACAAGTTGAATCACCTCGTTTTGGATCTGTGGACTGAGGTACTGAACATGTGTCTCTGCCTTCTTAATCCTCTGTAAAAGTTCGCTGAGGACAGTATCATACTTTGCAAGCAATTCAAACAGTCCCAAAAAGTTGCCATTCGAAGGATCGCCGAGCTTTTCATTACTTCCTCGAAATGCCAAGTTTCTTTCGGACAAGAAAATAACGACATCAACCATGCGTTTGACAACATTTCTCCAGAAATCTCTTTCTTTTAGAAAAGCCTGCAATTCGAGTTGGTCAATAGATGTACGGTTTACTATGCCTGACCAAAGGTCAAACCATTTCACCATACAGTCTTGATGACCTTTGCCTGTTTCATGTTGCTGAAGTCTTTTTGACAGTGCTTTCCAAGCAGATGTTCCACGACGTAGCAGTATGTTGCCAGTGCCAAATAATTTACAACAAAAACAAAAAGTGGCATCTTTCTAAACTGAGTACATTAACCATGAACGTCTTATTTTCTCGCCATTTGCCATGGTTCGATAGAAATGAGTACTTGTGAACCTCAGTCTTTCCTCGTTAAATGGAAATTCGTAACTTTCATTCTGCTGCGGTGGGCCACGTGCAACAATGTCACACACTTGCCTGTCCGATATTATAGACGGCCAATCTCCTGGATCATCAGTCAGTGGTTCAGATTCAGATACTTCTTTCCCGGCAGCAGCTGGAATATCTGTCACAGTTTGTTTGGTAGAACAACTGGCTTCACCTTCGACCTCACTTGAAGCACTTCTGGATACTTCTGGATACGATTCGTCGCTGCTAGCGCTGTCCGTTTCATGTGCCTGTACCTGTACGTTGGATTGCAGCGCAAAATACGTTGACAACTTTGGAATTTTCTCAAGTTCCTTCTCAGCATCTTTTGCTGCCTTTCGTTTACTAGCTCCGCTCTTATACGTTCTCTTAGACATCACAAAGCGTGCTTCTGCGTTGGAAACAAATCGTTTCAAATGATAAAAAATTAAACAACTAAATTAATAACATTTATCCGCTGACCGCCATTATGAACGCAAATACACATTCTTTGAATGGGTCCAACTAAAATTCGAAACTGACCGACAGACAACTGATGTAGCCAATAGCATTATGATATATCATAATAACTTCACGGTTTTGTCAGTAAAACCGACATGGATTGTGCAATAGCGTCAATAAATGTCACTTACCTAGTTATACCTTACATTTTTTTTGCCACTTTTAGGGGCCCCCTTCCTTGCGGGGCCCCCTCCGGTCGGAGGGTACGGAGGGCGCTCGCTATGCCTCTGCTAGCACGCTAAAAATAAACAGTACCTGTGGCAGCTCAGGCAGCGGGAGGAGCAAGACACCCCGATTACGTATGTGTCGGAGACCACAAGTATGTAGTCTAAGTGTAGCAGTGGTAGGAGGGGCTAACTGCCTTGAATACGTGTCTTTGGTCTCAGACTGGTACCTACTTCAGGGCAACTAGCCTCTTTTACAGCTCGCCTTGCCACAGTTACAGTTAATTTTTAGCATGCTAGCTTGATCAGAGCTAGCATGGGTATGTTTCCTTGAGCTGGGAATTAAACATCTCCCGCTCTAAGTGTAGGCATACCCTAAATGATTTAGGAGCATAAGTCCCACTGCCTTTCACTTAAAGCTTCATCCAAAGTCCATCGACGTCAATGCAAAGTCTTTCCATAGATTTCAACAGGCTTTGGATCAGACCCACAAGATTTCTGAGAATTCTACTCCATGGCTTTTTGTTGCACCAGCTGGCAATATCTTGAACACTTTTCACCAGTGCAGGAAACTGCTCAGAAAAAAACAGCACCCTACACTCAGGTCTTAGCAGACAGATAAAAGTAAATGTATTTGTTCTCAAAGGTATATTATTTCTCACGTTTAGGTTTACACACGTGAATGATCTGGGATTTTAAACAGTTCATTTTTTTAAAAAAAACTATTTCATTTAAAACATATCTTTATTTTTAAAACTATGTATTTCTTGAGACGCTATGGCAAGTAATCTCTTACAAAACTGAATTACATTCAAACCAGAATGGAATGCATCTCGCCATGTAACCACTAAATGCTACTCACATCTGAAAATAAAATAAATAAATATGGAAAGCCAACGAATCTAGGGAAACAAACAACAGTATGCTTACCTGAGCTATCATGTAGAACCACAGGTTATGTATATTATAGAAATAGCCCAACCCAAACATTGCAGTGAAGAGTCCACTGGCAAGCATTCCAGCTGTTAGATAATACCGGATAGGCAGTCGCTCTCCTATTATACCACTGAGAATGTACAGGGGTAAAGAAAAAAACATTTAAAAGAAACATGAAACATGTCACACACCAAACTTTCATAGCGTATAAAGAGGATGTTCAAATTCTGAATCTATTAGGGTTTTCCCTGAAAGTTTCAACAGAAATTTTAACTAAAAATCAAGCAATTAAGTAATAAATATTTGGTGCATTACATAACAAATGCTGATATTGTGAGAATTGAATGGTTTTACGGTGGGCATAATGGGAATTACTTTCCACGTGATTCTTCACGTTGAGTGTATCTACACAGCAGTGGGGGGGTGTAATTCCCAGCTTATGCAGATATACATGTGCTAGCCCTGCTTGAGCTAGTGCACTAAAAATAGAAGCACAGATGTGGCAGTGCAGGCTGTGTCTTGGGCTTGCTGCCTGAATACAATCCTATCCAAGATCCTAGTATGTACTCAGGTGGCTAACATCTGCCATCACCCATACCACCACAGCCACACTGCTGTTTTTAATCATGATAGTCTCAGTGTGTATGTCTACCAGATCTGGGAATTAAACTATGCAGCTGCTATTTAGACATACTCATTGATGTATATGGGCTAGATTGTCATCTGTGATACATTTCAGTTCAAGGGAGTACAGAAATTCATAGGAAGGATTAACCTTCCTATGAATTTCTGTAAGGGTTTCAGGATAGTCACTGTGAAAAATGTGCCTAAAGACTTGTCTACACTACCTGCCAGATCGGCAGGCAGCAATCAATCCAACGGGGATCGATTTATCGTGTCACGATAAATCGACCGGTGAGCGCTCTCCCGTCGACTCTGGTACTCCACCAGAATGAGAAGTACAAGCAGAGTCGACGGGAGAGTGTCAGCTGTTGACTTACAGCAGTGAAGACGCACCGGTAAGTAGATTTAAGTAAGTTGCGTATCTTAGATCGACCCCGCGCGGTAGTGTAGACAAGCCCTAAAATCAGGTCTTTGTATGTGTGAGACAATCCAAATTTCTCCTTCCTTCTTCAGTGATCATTCATCAGAAGCTTCCCAAAAGGAAAGGATAACAGATTAGAAGCATCAGAGGGGTAGCCGTGTTAGTCTGAATCTGTAAAAAGCAACAGAGGGTCCTGTGGCACCTTTAAGACTAACAGATGAGAAGCAGTGCAGCCTTCTGAATCAATAATTTAAGAAGTATGAAAAAAAGTCTAAAGGAATTACCTCAAATACATTCCAACTGCATAAGCACACAGAAATGAGTAATCCAGGGCTCCCAGTAATTGTTTGTAATTGTTCTTGTCTAAGAAAACATTTTCAAAACAAATCAGTGGAATAAGTTTATCAATAGCTTTCAAACCTTTATTATATATTTCATGTACAGGTCTTGGAAATCTTTAAAAAAAAAACACTATAGGCATTTTTAGTTCTAAGTGAAATTTCTAGCAGAAAAAAAAAGAATGCCAGTTTCTTGACACTTTGCATTCTACTTAACCAAAGAATACTGTATTTTCTGTTTTCATCTATTACATATTAGAAAAACATTGTTCGAAGCATTCTTAATCTCCTCTTACCCAATTCATATAAAAACAACATTTGGAAATGGAAACCACAAATTTATTAGCAAAATATACTGTATTTTCAAGCTTCTAAGAGAACAAAGTTCACAAAAGTCTATAAAAATATATTTAAAATTCCCTAAAAGGAAAATATACTTTTCAAATATGTCAGGTCCTAACTGCAAAGATGGCGGAAGCAAATTTTAAAAAGCCATCTGGCAAAGACTAACTACTTTTAAAAAACAATACAATTAAAAAGGATGTTGTGCTTTGTTCTTTAATGCTAGAAAATAAATATTTCTTCAGTTTTTTCCCCTCCATTACAATGTTATCTCTGATCCTGTAATCAAACCTGCTTGTGTGGGCCCTTGCAGCCCATATGTCCCTAAACCGCTGACTGCCAGAAGCTGGGACTGGATTACAGGGGATGGATCACTCATTAATTGTTCTGTTCATTCCCTCTGAAGCACCTGGCACTGCCCCAGTCCAAAGACAGGCTACTGGGCTAGCTGCACCATCGGTTTGACCCAGTATGGCCATTCTTATTAGCCCACTAGAGCCAATGGGGCTCTCTGCATGCCAAGAGGCCATCTATGCAGATACAAATCTCAGGATCAGGGCCATTATTTTGACATATTGGATGAAAAGGAGTAAGGTTAGATGACATGGTAATTAAAATGTCCATTGTTGCTCGACCAGTGATGGGAGAATGACTATCGATTGAAAATGTTCAGCTAAAAAACAGGTGTTGGATTTATGCACAAAATCTATGAACTGCACACAGGCCCAGTTCAGCCAGGGACTAAAACGCATGTCAAACTTCAAGCATTTGAGTAGCTCCACCAATTTCAACAGAACTATTCATATGTTTAAAGTTAGGCACATGCACAGATTTTTCTAAATGGGGTCACAGATGATCATGCACAAGAGGAGGCAGCCATTTGAAAAATCAGGACTTGTCAGAGTTACCACCTGTCCATCCCCATTTTGAACACTACTACTTGGGCCTCAAATTAGTCCTGGCGACAGACTGACTTCATAAAGAAACACAAGCTAAAAAGGTCATGAAAACAATGGTGTTCAATACCACGTAATTTCCTGCAATTTTCAGCTTTTAAATTAATTATTTTTAGAAACCTGTTGAATATAACACTGTACTCAACAGTAACTTTCAATCAGTGGCTTCTGAAAGGAGAAAAGTTTAAGGTGTTTTTATCCCCTCAGGACCTAGTCTATCAGAATGTTACACACATACCCTTTTAGGCCCCAATCATGCACTGAACTCCATGTGTGCAGACCCTACACCCACACAGAGCCCTTTAATGGAGCTTCACCCAGGCACAGAGCATGACAGAGTAAGATGTGTCTGTATCTCATTATGAATTCTGGTTTGTACCATGTGTTGAACACTAGTCTGCACTCTGTCCAGGGACAGACTTTTTACTACATTCCCAACAGCTACCCAGCCCTGGAAAGGTGTTTGACATTTCACTGAAGGACCATCACACAGACAGCAATCCAGGGCTATCAATTTTGAATGATTCTCAACTGCTGGACCATCCCATGGAACAATGGTCTTTCTACACAGGGGACGGCCGTGGGTGGTTGGGAAGTATGCCTGGTGGATCTGGAGATTCTCAGGTTAGGTCTGCATTTACAACACTACTGCAGCTGTGCTGCTCTAGCTCTTCTGTGCAGAAACTTACTTCAGCGATTGAAGGGATTCTCCCATCACTGTAGTAAATCCACCTCCCTGAGAGATGGTAGCTAGGTCAGCAAAAGAATTCTTCCATTGGCCTAGTGCTATCTACATGGGGACGTAGGCCAGCTTAACTATGTCACTCAGAGGTACAGATTTTTCACATCCCTGAGCGATGTAGCTGGGTCAATCTAATTCTCTAGTGTAGACCAGGCCTCAGTTTGAGCACGTGGTGTGACAGATGTTGCAACCGCATCCAGTATAGTTAGGGACTATACTGTAGTAATTTTATGAATGGTTTTTACATCAGATTAGACTAGGGATTGCAGGCTACTCCACCGGCTCCTCCAGGAATGAAAAGAAGTAGAAGGGTGATGGAGGCAAATCACGCAGGCTGTAAACACATCCAGAGAAGTGCCACCCTCTGGGGAGCTTTGCATACACTCCCTGGCCCACCGTGATACATAAACCATTCATAGACTTCATACAATATGGTCCCCAACTAGCCTGCAGGTGGTTGCAATATCAAAGGGAGAATATGCAGGTACATTTTCCCTGAAACTGTGACACATGGCACACAAGCAGAGGCCCTATTTAAGAGCAGTGTAAGGAGAATTTAAAGGAGAACTCTGCTCAGCCTGAACGGCTGATGAACCATTGACTCAAAAGAAGGAGTGAGCACAGACTAGAGAAGAGTGTGTTTCAGGACTGTCATTTGCGAAGCTCTGTAGTGCTTTATCAGTAAAGTCACTGTGGTAAAGAAATTCTTCTGGTAAACCTGTGCTCCTTGCTTAACTGCCACATTGTCCCCAAAAGGGTTAAACTAGGAGCCCCAGAGTGCCCATGGACTAGGTGGAACGCTGAGTGTGTGTAAGCAACGGGGGATGGGGAGACCGGTGACTAGGGTCTGAGACACTGGTTTTCAGGGTCTAGGATGGCTAGATGGCAGCACCCCATTTTCTAAGGAAGGGTGTCAGACAAGAGGTATGTACTCAGGAGTATGCCCTGGAGTCCCAGAGCTACAAATGTATAGTGGGTTACCAGGCCACTTGATAACACAGGGGTCTACCTACACATAGCTGAGAGTGCAGGATCACAGCCTTAGTTAGTAATAATTGAACAGTTTCTCCTTTGCTAGTGAGCTATCAAGTTACTAGGATCTTCTATTCTACTGACATTCCCTGTTTATGATCAGATGCTGAACACAAGATATCAAGCACTTATTCAAAATCTCAGTTATTATATTCAAATTATTACAGTATTAACTTGTAAATAAGCAAAACATAGCCTTTTAATTACAATTTAGTTTTCTAAATGAGCATATTTTCTTTGTTTTGAAGGTGCCAGCATTTCTGGAATGTGCATGGCATCCATTTATAGAGCTGGTTAGAATTCCATGGGAAATTCTGACATTTCAAAATTTGTTTTTGTTCCAACTCGAAAACATTGATTTTTTCCACTGACTGGAAATTCTGGAAGCATTGAATTGTTTTGTTTCAATAGTATCAGGACCATATAAAATATAATATATTTGATAAAATATAAATGTCAAAATGAAATGAAATGAGAAAGCCAAAATGATCAGTTATGTCATATTTCCATAACAAACATATGTGGAATCACCACATTCCCATGAAACAATTAGATTTGACAAATTTGCATTTTCTAACTGAAATTTGTTCCATCAAAAAGTTTAAGACCAGGTGTAATAGTTTAGTCTTCAGCAGCTGAACTCATAATTTATTTGGAAAAGAAGTTCTTGTAAGAGACTTGCCATTTAAAGCTTTATCTCATTTGGGACACTCACAACATATTAGCCAGGTTAAATTAAAAACAAAACATGCCCCTCCTATCCGTTTTTCCATGGGAATAATCCCTGTGATAAGTAACAAGGTACAACACTTGTATAAATATCATTATTACAAAATTAGCATGCAAATGAACTCACCAAATGGCTCCCAACCACACTGAGACTCATTAGATAACTTTTTAACAGGCTGAATCTGGATGGCATATTCTTTGTAGGAGTTGAGTTCAACTTCACTTGGAGGAGCACAGTGCTTATGTAGTTCTCCCTAATGTAGAAAGAGAATTTGACAATATAAAACTCATCCAGTACAGAATCCTGCTATACACAATACAGTAGCAAATTTAACAAATCTAGCTATTTATGGGCCCAAACCAAAGCCCATTTAAATCAATGGTATATCTATCCTTTTTAATTTGCAGTGCTGTTATAGCTGTGTTGGTGCCCTGATATTAGAGAGACAAGGTGGGTGAGGTAACATCTTTTACTGAACCAACTTCTGTTGGTGAGACAAGCTTTAGAGCTACACAGAGCTCTTTTTCAGGTCGGTCCAATAAGAGAGATTATCTCACTCATTTCATCTCTCTAATATCTATTGTAATGGCTTTGGATCAGTTCCTATACATGAAACACCCTTCACCACATGTGAGGCTAGTAACAATATTATAATGACAGTGCTTTTCATACCGAGAGATCCCAAAACACTTTACGAACACTAGGCCTGATTAACCACTGTTACGCTGCAGTTTTGTGTCACTGTGAACGCCAAAGGATCCCTACAAGGTTTGGCTGGGAGTTACACTGGTATAAGATTGAAATAACATAATCCTACACCTATTAGAAATCAATAGAAGTTTTGCCATTGGCTTTACTGGGAGCAGGACTGGGCTCCAAAACTGACAAAAACTACAGTCCCAGTCTTGCAAACAATTATGTACCTGCTTAACTTTAAGTACTGTGAATAGTCCTAGCAAAGTCAGCGCGCACAACATTAAGCATGTGCGTCAATCTTTGCAGCACCAGCGGCAATGTATTGTATTTCATCCCATATAATGCAGCACAGCCAAGTTTCGGACAGGGATAGAAGAGAAAAAACACACCCCACTGAAACTGCAAGGGAAATTTAGGTAGGTGAAATGTAATTACCAGGATTGACACAGCAGAGTTCGACACCCCTGTTCTCACTACAAGTGCTATGGGAACTTTGGTGATCAGAAATAGGCCAGGACTTGGATTTTACATCTCATTGGAACGATGGCATGTCCAACAGCACACTACTCAACATGCTGGGGAAATGGCCCAGTTTGCCCAGCAGCTCCCATAGAAGTCAACAAGCATACTTCAGTGGTATGTAATACCATACATATCAAACAGAAGCAGAATACCTCTTCCCCCCCCCCCCCCCGCAAGGAAAAAAATGATCTGTTCACAATGTTCACAATATATAAAGGGGTAATGGTATATTTTTCTAAAAATGCTCATATGTAAGTGATGTTCTCATCCATGCAGGTGTAAATCTGGAATAGCTCCATTAATCTCAGTGAAGTTACTCTGGATTTACATTGCTGTGAATAAGGGCAGAATGTGTCCTTATGTCATCTGAGAACATTGCAATGCCCTTTCCTTCAACAAAGAACATTTTATTTTTCAGTTTATATCTTAAACATGTCTCCTCATCCCCAAGCACACAACTACTGCACATACCAATGCTGCAAGCTGATGTGCATGAGCAGACTTCTAGGTCTGTGAAGAGTCCCACTGACATAACCAGGACTCCACATACATGTAGGGATCTGCGTATACAGATCACATTGCAGGATTGGAGCCCATGAGTTAGCATATCATTACGCCCAAAAGGAATCAGAACAGTAAAATATATGGACAGGGCTGCCCAGAGGATTCAGAGGCCCTGGGGTCTTCGGCGGCGGGGGTCCTTCCACTCCGGGTCTTCGGGGCACTTCAGCGGCGGGTCCTGGAGTGAGTGAAGGATGCGCCGCCGAATTGCCGCCGAAGTCCCGGAGCGGAAGAAGCTCCGGGTCTTCGGCAGTGGGTCCTTCACTCGCTCCGGGTGTGTTCGGCAGCACTAAAGGACCTGCTGCCAAAGACCCGCCGAAAACTCTCGTGGGGGCCCCTGAAAACTCTTGTGGGGGCCCCTGTGGGGCCCGGGGCAAATTGCCCCACTTGTCCCCCCCTCTGGGTGGCCCTGTATACGGACACTGAAGAAACAGACTTGGGGGGGAATCAATCAGCTTTTGGAAGGATCAGTATTAAAAAAAAAATGGAAAAAAAGCCCACCACAAAGTCAAAAAATAAAAATAGAAAATATAGTTTGACACATCAAGCTGCAGGAAACTTCAAAGGAGATACAGGGAGGAAGAGATTAAGGCCTGGTCTACACTAGGGGGAGATCGATCTAAGATATGCAACTTCAGCTATGAGAATAGCGTAGCTGAAGTCAACGTATCTTAGATCAACTTGGAATCACTTACTTCGCATCCTCGCAGCGCGGGATCAACGGCTGCCGCTCCCCCGTCGACTCCGTTTCCGCCTCTCGCCGTGGTGGAGTTCCGGAGTCGACGGCAGAGCGATCGGGGATCGATTTATCGTGTCTACACTAGACGCGATAGATCAATCACTACTCGCCAATCCGGCGGGTAGTGTAAACGTACCCTTAGTTTATTAGTTTTTAATTAGATCAAGTAACTGCTTACACTGCTTAAGGCCAAGCTACCAATAGGTAGATCTAACACTGATTTCCAGAGCAGTGTGGATGGAAATTTCACTCTTGAGAACTATGCTCTCTTTAAAAAATGCTATTTTATAACCCCAACCAAATATAATCTAAAGTAAGATAACATGGTTTTCAATAGGACGATCCCAGTCTATACAGATCAGAGAAACGGTGCTAACGTCAGTTTTATCCCTTGTGTAAACAAGTTCTTAGTGGGAATAAAATCAAAAGGTTAATGAAACACTTGACAATTTGAAATGTAAACAATGAAACCGTATCTAAGCAATTTGCATTCTGATAACAGGTCCAATGCTATTTATTTACTGTATGGAGCAAGACTTTTTTTTTTATTATTAATATGAATAGGCTGTTGAGCAATAAAGTTAAAAATATACATGAGAAATAACTTCAGGTTAATGTACTGCCAAAGTCTAAAGGTGAAAATGAAATACATTATATTTCTCTGATATCACTGCACTAGCTCATGCATAGTACTGCACAAGAACCAAAATCGTCTTGAAGATCTAACGCACACAATTTACTCAGTCTCGATAGATTCCTCAGCTCTGAGCAACTCTTCTAAGATTTCAAGCCTTGATCCTGCAAACACTTACACATGTACTTAGCTTAACTCATGTGAGGGCCTAAAACCAGAAGTATGTGCAGTATTCTAGGTGTGGTCTCACCAAAAATGTATAGCATGGAACTATGGTACGACAACTGTAATTATCGGCACTTGTTTTTACAGCATTGTGGGTTAAACTTTAACACTGTCTTTGAAAAAAAACAACACACACACACAAAAGTATACTTTCCTGTTTGAGAAAATTAGGAGGCTATTTAAACAAAATGATTCATTGTTGCTTACCTTAACTATACTAATAGGTTTCCTTGACAAGTGGAAACTAGCATATAACAAAAAGGTAAGAACAAAAATGAAGGCCCTGCACCTGTAACAAAAGAAAAATCAGTATTTATTTTAATATTTCTAAGTGATTGAAATCACTAGATTTATATTTACCAACATCTTACATAAAACAAAATATTTCAAAGTATTCTTCACATTTTTTTTCACTTCATGTTATCATAAACCCTGGAAGCTAAAGAGACTCTAAATTAACTCGAACTACTGTATATTGGGGTATAAATTTGAGCAATTTCAATAGTTTCTATATTTAAGCCAGCATCAGAGCAAAACATCATTTTTGCACCTGTGACACCTTTACCCCCAGAGGTTCACAAACGAGGGTGTGGGGACTACTGGTTGTTCACAGAGCACATGGTGCTGGCTCTTCTCTCTTTCCAGTTGCTAATGCATATTAAAAGAGAAACAAAAGAAAAATAATATTACTTATTTTCCTATTATTGCTTTTCCACATGAGCAATTGTAGTTGCCAAATGGATGTGATCTGATTGGAAATGTGAGAGGTGTGTTCCTATGACAATGAAATGTGATCCACCCTATAAAAAAGTTTGAGAATGCTTGCCTTTACACTGATGGTTTCATTCACATCTACTTTATAACCATTAGTGCAGTTTTTTAAATGGAGAAGAGTAGTTTGAACGATTTGTTATACTATAGTAGATTCTTTTCCTATTTTGCTTACCAATACCTGTTAAGTATACGGTCTGATAGATTATACAATGCTACATGCTGTATGTCTTCAGCTCAGCATCCTACATTACATCCAGTTGTCTGTCTGCATATATAAGCAAAAGCATGAACAAGTAGAATGTATCCATTTAAATCTCCAATAGATGTGTAAGTAGCCACAGCACACTGTAAATACCATATACTTGGTATTGCGCCAAGACACATGGTCAACATGCCTCCTGCTGCAAAAACCACCACAGGATCCTTAGTGACCACAAGGGGGCAGGACTTCAGTTTTGGGTGTTGTCTAATGGATGGTACCTCCAGAAATACAGCAGACCCTAATGCTATTCAAAGGCATCGGTCAAGTACTGGTTGAGAGGCAAACATACAAGTTACTGAATTGCTAACACATCCTCCAGTACAGGGAATTTCCTGGATTTTCTTGGAGGTCTCTTATCCAAGAATTGACTATGTTTAACCCTGCTTAGTTTGTAGAACCAGCACAGAAGACTCGGCAAGTAAGGCTACCCAAACACACCATCTGGGTTTTGGTATAACAACTTACATTGGGGTGTTCAGTTGTTATGCCCATTACTGAAGATTTCATTTAATAAACTGCAGTGACTCTTGCCTTGAAGCTCTGTTAGATGACGTGTATGATAAAAATCATTCAACTGGGAAGTACTGATTTCTTTCCTTTGTTACGGTAAACAAGTGATTTCAAGATAAGAGTAACAAATTCTCTCTCTCTCTCTCTCTCCCTTGAAAGCACAAAAAGAGCTGACAAGACCAAAACAGAATTAAAAAGTTGTCAAAAGACTTCCAGATTTTAGTTTCCAAGGACAAATATCGTTATTAATTATTTATTTTACAGTAGCATCAACCAAGATCAAGATCCTATTGTGCGAGGCACTGTTACAAATAAAATTATGATATCATCCAGGAGAAGAAAGAAGATCTGGGTCCAGGATAAACAGATTGATTTTTTCACAGACATAAACCAAGTAACTCAAAATAAAAGGCTGTGATTCACCTCCCCAAGCACATAATACGTGAAGTAGAACAGGAGAAGTACTTATTCTCTAGCGTACAAAACTAATGGTGATGGAAATGTATTCCAAACCCCTATATCACTCTGTACTAGCGTCAAATCTCCTGATTAAAAAATCTTTAGCCTTGCTCTTCATTTTGCAATTAAATCAACATTTTCTTTAACAAAGACTTGTTTTATATTCCAAGAAATAAAAAGTTAGAGAAACTGAGACAAAGGAATAATCTTTCTCAGATAAAATCTGATATTGTCCAAGATGGATGTCTGTTAAGATATACTTGAAAACTTACCACTGATCTCTTGTAAATAAAACGATGAAGCGAACTCCAGGGGGAAGTTGAGCCATTTACTTCACTGCCAGGATCTGGATTTTAGGTGACAAAATGCTATGTTTGGAAAAGGATTGTCCTAGGGTCAGGCTTTTTATCAAAGATGCTCAGAATGTCGTGTAATTGCACTTTGTGGAACGGTTCTGAAGAGATGTCACACTAAGCAGATCTCCTTTTAGGTCTCCTCTTTGATATTTTCAGTCACTTTGAATGGCCAACTCTTCACTCAACTGTTTTACAAAAAAAAAAAAAAATGTTGAAAAGTTAGCGTTTTAATTATAGTTTTAATCAGTGATTCCCTCTTTCAATAATGTAAATAAACTGCTGCAACTTTATAGACATCAAAATTTTGGAGAAACAGCTTAAACCACTGAAAAAATTACAAATTTCTAAAGGCTGCCTTTCTTACTTGTTGGTACCAAGCCTGAATAAGTTTTTCTTTAAGACGTCAGTACAGATAAAAGATTTCATTGAGGACGTGATCTAAAGGCCACTGAAGTCAATGGAAAGATCCCATTGATTTTATTGGATTTTGGTTCTGGTCCTGAGAGACTGCAAGTGGGCAATTCCCTACCAGGAAAAGATGTATTTTAAAACATCAGACGCACTCAAATTTCTGATGCCATAGGGAACTTACCAATTCCTGGCCCAACATAGTTGTTTTAGATCCTCTTCTCTAATAGGAAAAGATGCACAATAACCTTTATGACAGGTACTGCATGGTGTACTAGTCGTGCTGCTGCTTGGCATGTTTGGCCGAGCCTGATAAGTAATAAGACTGAGACTGACCTCCCTAGACAAGCAAAAGAATGTAAGCTAAAGAAAAATCTTATTCTGAAGTACTCACTATTGCTAATAACTAGGACTTGTCTTAGGATAGGATTATTAGGAGATGTCACATGGCAGCCAGAGGCATTGATTTGTGAGCTTTATTCCTTTAATCTTTATTCTCCTGTTTTAGCACAAATAGGAACTGTGCTTTTGCTCTTCCAAACAGCAGACAGTATTTAACACAGTAATGGTTGTATCAAAGCTGACCTTTCTAAAGCTAACCTAAATACCTCTATTTTAGATGATTGGTTTTTAAGTCTTTGGGATGGAGAAATCTAATCACCCCTGGAATAATTACACCTCTCACCATGAATTCACCATTAGCTTGCCATATGTTTTTCTTGTTGCTGTGCACTTGCTCCCTTAGCTTCTCATCCTGACCCCGGTTTAACTTTTCCTTTCTTCATGAGTGAAATTCACGCATGGTAAGGACAGCCTACTCAAGGCCCCCCGGCCACATAATTTATACCCTGTACAAAGGGTTCTGCTGCTGAAGCAGCTACACAGGAATGCCAACACACCTCCTATATATAGTTCCATGATAGTCCCACATAGGTTGGTACGAAGGCCACAACAGGGCTCCAGCAGAACTCTGTGCCTCATATAACTGGTGCAGAAGGCTGAAATAATAGCTGCATGGAAAGTGTGGCACAGCACCCTTATGCTAGTTTGTAGGGACTGATTTCACCTTATTATCCACCACCCACATAAAGCCCCAAAACTCTGTTTTTATGAGCAGATCTCAGCCTAAGTTCTCAGTGAAAAAAATTTCAATTGTTTATCATCACATCCATCCATCCACCCAACCACCCACAAGTTCACCAGATGTCTGAAGTGGTTTTAAAAAAAAAGAAAGAAAATGAGAATCTGTGACAAGAGTGACAAAGATGTAGCCATAGCAACAACAGTTATATTCATTCTATGACAGCATGTGATCATTAAGTATTAATATTAGTTTAATTTTTTGGAAGGGACAGTAGTATGTTACAGAGGCAATGGCAAGTATACTAGGTAACTTACGGATGAATCATTTTCTTTTTTTATTAAAGCAAGTGTAAATATACAAATCAGAAAAAAAAAATTTTAACTTGTTTCTTAGTCTTTTGTTTTCAGTAATACTAAGGGCCTAATTTTCTAACCTAAAAGAAGCAACTGAATAGCAGGAAAAGGGCACCTCAAGCACGGTAGATAAATGCAAGGCTGACCCTAGACCAAATGGCACCCCAGGCAAGGAACGTCTTTGGTGTCCCCCACTCCATTTGTTAAACTTTTGAATACCTTATTTTTTATTGCATTTGTTGCCTATTTCATGACTTTGATGCACGATTTGCATGTATGATTTAACCCTGTCATATAAGATGATAAATTTGCATGCTAGGATCTGTAAATCTGCGAGCCCGGCACCGTCCCAAGCCCTGCACCCCAGGCAGTCGCCTGGATCACCTGCCCCTAAATCCGGCCTTGGATAAATGAATACCTTACCATCTCCTCATTCTATTACAGCGTTGGGGAAGGCACGGTAGAATTAACTTTGAAATGGTATTTGCATTCTAAGGGCTAGATTGTGCCTTTAGGCAAAGCACTGAACTAGGGTTGTGCATACACTGCATCATCTCCAAAGGCACTGTGCATTACAGGCATCTGAGGCATAATTCCCCACCCTGCTTCCTCCTTGCTCCATGAAGGTATAGTAATTTGCTGCTGGCCTATACCAGCAGCAAATTGCAATAGCCCTCAACACTGGCCTAAGCTGCGCTGCCCAGTGCATTGAGGGATTGGAGAAAAGGTTCTGCCCACTCCCACCAACTCTGGGAGAAATAGAGTAAGCAGGTATGCAGCACCCACTTACCTCTGAATGCTTGAGCCCAAGGTCCTGATAGACCATGCAGAGATGTAAGTAGTTTTTCGCTCCCTGAAGCAAACACAAAGTCCAAAATCTAGCCCTAAACTGCAATTTTCATTAGTTTATAAACTCTTTTAATAAACAAATGAGGCATATGGGTACCCAAGATGCTTTGTTTTAACTCATAAGGGATTTCAAAACAAAAACCCTAAAAAACAAAACCTTCAGGAATAGCAACATAGCTTGTATTGGTCTGAGATGACCAGTAAAGCTGAAATGTGGCATTGGTGACAACTTCCCAGTCTCCCAAAGTGTCAACATGATGAATCAACAACATGGTATTTAAATATGAATAGTCATTATTGGCTGCATAATGATTGCTCCAAGAGCATTTTGACAACAGAGGAAAGAGAGAATCTAAGTTTCTCTTTTTTAACAGGTGGGGGAACTTCCTGGTCTTTATGAAAATCTACATCCTGGAAAGTTTGGTTACACACTGCAGATCTGTTTCACATTCAACACCATCCAGAGCAGAGTTTCTCTCTGAGGCCTGGTCTACACTAACACCCCAATTCGATCTAAGGTACGCAACTTCAGCTACGTGAATAACGTAGCTGAAGTCGACATACCTTAGTTCGAATTTACCGCGGTTCAGACGCGGTCCACACAGGGCAGGCAGGCTCCCCCGTCGACTCCGCGGTACTCCTCTCGCTGACGTGGAGTACCGCAGTCGACGGCGAGCACTTCCTGGTTCGAATTATCGCGTCCACACCAGACGCGATAAATCGAACCCGGAAGTTCGATTGCCAGACGTCGAACTACCGCGGTAGTGTAGACAAGCCCTGAGTTTCATCATTGCTTTAGTGTTGCTTGTCCAAGACACTGTGCCTTAAATTATATAAACACACCCAATTACTATCTTCCCTTTTCAAGACAAATACAGGTTTCTTGTAAAACAATCTGTTGCATAAATGGTGCCTATAAATTCACCTCATACTGTGGTTATCTGATCAGAAACTTCCTGCTTGGGACCTGCAGCTAGTAGATTTCTAACAACTCTTTCAACCCACATGAGACAAATTATTTCTGATCACGCCACTAGCGTCCATCAAATTTCAAGCCCTACCAGACATCCAGACATTCAACTGACGGTCACCTTAGGAAAATGAAGCAGGAAAGATGATTCACCCTCGACCCCTCATGCCTAGGGGAAATGAGGATGTCAGCTGATGGAAGACGTTCTGTTTCACCCCTACAGATTAATTCCCTTACCACAAAACGTACCCGTGCGAATAGTCTAGTCTCACTGAAGCCAGTGGAGCTACTCATGCAAGAGTGTGCCGGACTGGGATCATCTTGTGTACAACCTCTTCCACGCAAACTGTGTATCTTCAAAAGGCTTCATAGAGTGAAGCAGTGGGACAGTTAATAAGTGAGGGAGAGAAGGAGGGCAACCAAAAATAAAGACACCCCCCCCTTCTGTTTGGAAAATTAGCACAAAGCTGTAACTCTGCCTCGCTTGGCCGTGCCACTCAAACCCTCCCTTTCATGCATAGGTGGAGATAATTACTCCCAGGCGGCGGCAGCTGGTGCATCTCCCTAACGAGCAGTACTCCTCCCCAGCTAGCCCCCCAGAGCCCGAGACTCCCCTTCCCCTCCCATTGTTCCAGCTTAGGCGCAGACAGACCCTAGCACAAGAGCTCACCAGAAAATCGCGCCTGGAGATCAGCGAGGGCTCTCTCAGTGCACTGCCTCAGCGCAGCGCAACATTGGTTGATGTTTCCTTGCTGCTTGGATACTTCCTGGTTAGCTGACCTGCAGGCGTGGCTCGCTCTTGTTTCATTCATGCTCAGCCGGTCCTAGCTTTCGATGTGCTATAGAAGAACCTGTTTGCCGGGCGCGCCTCCCCCCACCTCGCCCCTCTGATAAGGAAGCAGCGCCACATACAATGCAGGAAGAAGGAAGCTGCACAATGTGCTCAGTGCACAGAGAAGAAGCTACACTACGTGGGAGACACAGCTCCCTCCCGTTATACACTTAACCTGTCCCGTGTATCACTCAGCAGCGCTTCAGACCCGGTATGGTTAGTCACCCACATATGCAGCGTGCTGCAGAACCGTAGACATTTAATTCCAAAATAGTTTTGTTTCAATTCTTACAAATAATTTCTGGTTAAAAGGCAAAACTGTCAGGTCACCGGTTTTGGCACACATTTTAGGTTTTGTAAACATCGTCCTACCTGAAATGCGCTGTAGATGAAAACCCTCAAGTTCAATGGAAAAGAAAAAACGTTCTCCCGCCTTGTTTGATACACAATTGCAGCAACATTGTGCTACTTTCAGTAAAATCTGAAAGCGAAACTGACTAGAAAC